GCTCGTCCCAACCTTCTGCTAGTCCGATCCCCCTTGGCCTTCCTCCCAGGAAGGGCCACTTCCTCAGGGAAGCCCTCCCTATCCCAAGATGGTGAGCTCCAGGAAGGCAAGGACGTGCCCAGTCTGAGATGGGCGCTGTCAACAGCTGTCAAGCCAGTGGGGGATGCCGGAACAGAAATGCCTCCCCAGCTGGTCTGCCAGGGTATAATGGGATCCAGGAGTACCTGCCCCAGATCTGCCTGGCCCTGAAGTTTCCAGGATGCCCACCAGGCACACTGCCTTCCACTCAACTCAGAGGTCTGTTCCACGGCACCTCCACATACCCCTGAGGGACAGAACTGTGTGTCTACCTCCGGCCATCCGGCCCTCCCTGAGCTCCATACTGCCTGAGAGCAGGCCTAGCAGGCCTAGCAGGGTGGCGGATTCAAGTGGCATGTGCGGCCTTTTCCCAGGACGGGCGAGGGATGGGGGAAGCAGAGGCCCTGGCCAAGTGTAAGGAGTGTGAGGAAAGACCCAGTAGCCTGGCCTCCTTGGGGACCGGGCCTGGCACAGGGCCTCCAGTCACAGAGCCAACCTGCCCAAGGCCTTCTTCATGCTCAAGGAATCCCACACGTGGCTCTGAGGCTGCCCATCCCGGTTGGCACAAGGCTGTGCCCGTGGAAGGCAGACAGCACCTGTATGGTGAGCAGCCACATGCTCTTCCAACAAAAAAGTAAAAATCCCTGAAAGCCAACTGAGGACTCAAGGCTACCAAAGAAGAAAGGCCAGGGGAGGGACCTCTCCAAGTCACAGTCTGCTTGGACAGCCTGCACCCAAGTACAGAGTAGCAGGAGCCCCCAGAGCGACCCGTCCTCTCCTTCCGGCCCAGCCTGCATCCTTCATGCAATGGGTACTGAGGCACAGGGGACAGAGGTCAGGGCCAGATCAGAGTCTGCCTAGCTATGCCATTAGCTCCTCCTATGAAGTGGCCCTGGTAAGTCACTTCTGTGCCCCAGGCCTCGGTTTCTCCATCCACTGGCTGAGGAAATGCTCTCTGCCCGTCTCCTCCAGAGAGGACTTGCTGTGAGGTAAGTCAGCGCCTCCTGCGCGCTCCCTTGCCCTGGCACTGCCAGCCACGAGCGTGAGGCAGGCCACAGGACTGGTGCCAGCTGGGAGCAGAGACCTCTCGGAATGTTTGGGATTCTTCCTGCTCGAGGGCCGCCTTGGACAAGATGGCTGTTCCCCAACTTCCCCAACTTGACTAGGACCTCTGCATCCCTCCTGGGACCCCCAGGAAAGCCTCCCAGATGCCACTTGAATATGTCTACCAGGGAGGCCTCTGGGCAGGAACCTTGGCAAATGTTTGCAGTGCCCCAGTGCTAGCCCAGGCCTAGCACCAAATCCACAGCAGTGACTTCAGCTCCATGCCACCTTATGGCCCTGGGGACCCTTTTCTTTGGACCTCACAAAGCCTAATACCGTGCCTTTAAATTATCCAGCTCTGGACTTTCCTGTCCCACCGAACAAGTCGACAGGAACCTTCTTCAAAGGTGTGGGGGTGTCACACGGTTCTGTGGCTGCTTCCAACCCACTGCCATCACGGCAAGACAGGCTTTGGAGGTGGACCTGCCCAAATTCAAATCATCTCTCTGCTACTCCCTAGCTGAGCAGCACAGGCCCAGTCACTTCTACTCGCCTGACCCAGGTCCCTCATCTTGAGTGTCGGACCACCATCAGCCCACGGATGGGTGGCTGAAGGGACTCCAATGATCATGCATTTAGATGCTCAACAAGTCCCTGGCATGCAGAAAGTGCACGATCAAAGGTGGTTTAAAACCATAATGATAAAAGCCTTAACTTCCCAATTGCCACCCGGTGACCTCTGGTGTGTGGCTTCACCTCTCTGACCTAGATGCCTCTCCGGATGGCCAAGAGGATTAACGGAAATGCCATTCGCAAACACTCAGCATGGTGCCTGGCACATAGTACAGCCACACAGAACATAGTAGCTGCAAGGATTACTATTCGTAAGGAAGCCCCAGAAAGATGAGGCTAAGGAACAGCCCGACATACCACCTGTTCTACCTGCTCAAATTGGGTCAAGCAAGCTGTGTACCCAGCTGTTGCCAAGGCACCCAACACACAGGGAAACATTCCAGCTAGGAGGGCGGGTGCTGCAGAGGTGGGGCCTTGGGCCTGCTTCACTCTGACATAGCCCATGCTGCCACCCAGAACTCTGGGCCATCTCAGGTGTCCCTGGGGTTGGGGGAGATAGCTACTGGATCTGGGCCCAGGATCTAACTAGGTCCAATGCCCCCAGACCCTACCCCAACTTGAAAACAATGGGGCCTTGGCTGTCTGGAGGGGTAGGTTATGAGGTGAGGCTCCTAAGCTGCAGACCAGAGTGGGTGGGGTGGAGGTGGAGGCAGTAGGAACCCAGAAACCCTAAAACCCCCATCTACTGAGCAAAAGCCCAACAAAAGCCAAAATAGCTTTAAGCGGGCTTCAAGTTCCAAAGTCACTGTCTGCTCTCTCCAGCCACACCTGCCCAGCAGCAAACAGGTATCCAGTGCCTAGTAAGTGCCCACCTTTGTTCGGGCGAGGGGCTCAATGTCAGTTCCTCCCTCCCCAGCCCCACCCAGGTTCCATCCAGGACGAGATCTGGGAAAGGCTGTCTGGGCTCAGCTTGGTTCAGGAAATCTGGGTCCCTTTGCCAGGAAGAAAGGAAAACAGAGGTGAAATCCAGTGTGGGCTAAGACCTGGAACTTTCCAGACTTTCCTGGATGACGGAGCAGGTTTAGGGCAATGGAAAGGCCAATAGGTAGGGTGGTGACAGTGGCTCCAGGGCCTGGGAGGCCGGGCAAGACCTTGGCCCAGGCCTCAATATCAACGCCTTGGTGGGATCCAAGACCCTGTCCTCACTCCCAGCTTACATGTGGGCCCCCTGTTGACTCAACCTGGTCCCCGCCAAGACCCAGGAGGGGCTGGGGCCTGGGCATTTCTGTCCATAGTAACCATAACTGCTGCAGCAATTTGCCTGGGCCAGCCTTGGTACATACATTATCCATTCCCCCTGGCAACCCTAGAGGTGGGTATGACTTCCCCATTCTACAGAGGAGGAAAGAGAGGTTCAGGAAGAGGCGCAACAGGATAGTTGTTAAAAGCACATCCTGAGCCGGGCAAAGTGGCTCACACCTGTAATCCCAGCACTTTAGGAGGCCTAGGCAGGAGGGTCGCTTGAGGCCAGGACTTTGAGACCAGCCTGGGCAACAGTGAAACCCGGTGTCTACAAAAAAATACAAACATTAGCTGGGTGTGGTGGCATGTGCTAGTAGTCCCAGTTTCTCAGGAGGCTGAGGCAGGAGGATTCTTGAGCCCAAGAGTTTGAAGTTGCAGTGGGCTAGGATGACACCACTGTGCTGCAACCCAGGCAACAGAGCAAGACACTGGTCTCAATTAAAAAAAGCACATCCTGAGTTTGAATTTGGGCTCCACTGTATCAAATGAGGCAACTTGCTCCCTCTCTGAGCCTGTTTCCACCTCTGCAAAGTGGGGATAATAGTCCTATGGGCCACGCCACCACAATGACATAGTCAAAGGGTTAAGTGAGAGATGCTAGTAAAATGGAGCACAGCACCAATAATAGCTGATTCTTGAAATCAGAGAGGTTAGGTAACCCATCCAATGTCACCCAGCTAGTGAGCAGCCCTCTGTCTCTGAAACCTTAGGCTTCTATGTGGGTGGCTATGGGATCACAGGCTTCCCAGGCAACCAAGGATGGCCCACCACCCCCACCACAAGGGGCAGCCCTTGTCCAAATTCCTCAGACAAGCAGCTCCCAGCAGAACAGGGAGCCAGTGCACAGAAAAGGCACCCCACCCTGTCCGCACCGGAGATTCCTAAATCTGGGTTAGGCTGTGCAGCTTCCCTCCCTTCCCCTCCTCCCAGCAAAGCATTCGACCTCTGGATTCATCCAACAGGTCTCCATACTGGCCGAATTAAGTTAACAACTGCCTCCTTCGAAGTCCCTGGCAAGACGCTTCTTTCTGTACCTCAGTTTGTCCATCTGTGACACACACCCCCACTCAGAACAGTGAGGCAGCTCCGGCTAACTGGGCCCACAGGGAGGCCTGAGGAGCAAAGGCAGAGCAGGTCAGGGAAGCGGCGTGCCCTAGGCCTTGTCCACACTCTAGCTACTTGAAACTTCTCCACAACTCTGACGGAGAGACCTGCATTAGGCCGGTTTTCCAGAAGAGGACACAGAAGCCCAGAAAGTAACAGAGCCAGAATTCCCACCCCCATGTGTCGGACGCCAAGGCTCTCTCCAGACAGGCCCAGTCAGTGAGGGGCAGCCTGGGAACTCAGCAATAAGCTGGGCAGCTGGACCTGCCAGCATGGGGATGAACACAAAACCAAAATCAACGGAGCCTCTTTCAGAGAGGACAGCAGCCTCCAGGACAAGGGTATTTGCAATGCAAAGCAGCCCAGCTCCAGCCAGAAAAGGACAGTCACTCAGAGGGGGCTGGGTAAGCCAAAATCCAGCTACCTCCCTCCAGCCAGAGTGGGGAATGCCTGGGACCCAGCCTTCCCAAGAGCCAGGAAGTACCAGAGAACCAGTGGCAGGTCTGGGCTCTAAATCGTGACAGCCCGAGTGGCCAGCTAGGATGCAAGGTGGCCTGGAACAACCCTCCCCTACTCACCTGCCGACCAAAGCACAAATCTCCCTAGGATCTATGTGCAAGTCTGCAGAATGGACAGAATGGGCCTACTGCGAGTAGCATGCAGGGCCCCAAGAGCGTTGCTGAAAGAAGAGACCCCCAGGTATCCAGCTAGTCACCTGCAGACGGGTGCCTGGCACCCTGCCACCTTCTTCAGGCCCAGTCCTGCCTTGTGCAAACTTGCCCCAGACACACATAATCCCCCGGATTCTCCTGGCCCCAAGGGGTGCTTTCACACTTGCCAAGTGACCCCTAAATCTCGCTCATCATCCCCCTCTCCTGCGAGACTGCCACAGCTCCTACCTTGACGACAAGCTGACAAAATCCCCGCCATCCAGCAGCCGGACCTTGCAGAAGAGGACCCCGTTCACAAAGGGGACTGCAGTCAGCTCCTCCAGGGTGAAAGTGGTTTGGAATTTGAATTTCTTCTTCTTCATCAAGAAAGCCATGAGCGAGTTCCCTGAGTCTGAAGCCCCGAAGGCCAAAAAAGGGGGGGCCAGAAATCCCCAGGATTCCTTTCCCTACACCACACCCCCTCCTCAAAACACCAGAGCCGGATCCCGCCCAGATGGTGGCGGAGGCGGCGGAGCGGCGGGGATCTGAGTCCGGAGCCCCAGGTCTGAGCGACCAGTCCAGTTCGCGGGCCGGCTGGCTTCACCCTCGGGGAGTCGAGGCTCGGAGGGGTTCGGAGCGGCCGGGGGCGTCACCGGCATGTAAACAGCGGCGCATGGCCCGGGAGGCAAGGGCAGGGGCGGCGGGCTGCGCGCGAGCAGCCGCGCTGGCGGGCAGCATCCCGAGCCGCGGTCCCCGGGGAGCTCACGCCGCGCGGCCGGGCGAACCGGTGAGACTGAGGGCGGAGGGCGGAGGGCGGCGGGCGGCCCCGCCCCCGCCCCGCTGGCGGCCGGGGGAGGCGCCCTCGCCGCGCACACGCCCCCGCCCGGGTGCCCCGCGGCCCGCGCAGGTGAGGCAGAGGGCACCCGGGGGCGGCCGGGAGCTCTGGGGGCCTCTTCGGGGGGTGCGTCGGGACACTGCGGGCCGGGAACGTCCGGCCACGGGCCTCCTCCGGGCGGGCACCGGGCCGGCCCCGGACAGCGGGGGCACCGCCTCCTCCTCGGTCCTGGGACCCGCGCCGCGGGCCCTGGCGGAGCTGAGGAGCCCTCTGGTCCGGCCAGTGGTGCCCGCCTCACCCGCCGCCTCTGCCCAGCAGCCCGCGAGCAGCAGCGCCGCCGCCTGCGCCCCCGACGCGGCCGCCTGAACCCGACGCTGCGCGGCGCGGCTCCGAGAATGCCGAGGCCCCGCGCGGCCGCCCGCGGAGCCGCCGCGGAGAGCGGCAGGGGCGGAGCGCCGGCGGCCCGGCCCGCCCGCAATTGGGCGGCCCGGTGGGGCAGGCTCGCAGTGCAATTGGTGGACGGCGGCATGGGGCGGGACTCGCGGAGGCGGAGGCATCTTGGGGCGCTCGGATTGGTGCGCCTCGCGGCCGAGCCCGCCTCCTCGGGCAGGGCGGAGCGGAGAGGAAGGGAGAGGGGCCCCGGGAAGGCAGTGGGAGGTCGCGGGGCGGGGAGCCGAGGCTGGCAGGGCAGTGAGGAGAGCGGGAGCAGAAGAAAAAAAGAAACAATGACGAGGAGAAACAATTTGAAAACTATGGCTGGAATGGCCTTCCAGGGTCCCGCCAGACTTGAGCTTGTTAAACATTAAATCAGGCCCGGAAGGTAGTGAGTCCCATTTCTAAGAAAACTGACACCCAGAGACAAGACCCAAGCAGGTCTTTCGCCTCCAAATCTGTAGTTCTCTTCGGCATTGAGGAGTGTCTGGAAGCCTTCGCCAAGGAGGTGACTTGGACCAGTTCATCACGCTCCTTGTGACCCAGCTTGTATCGTTCCAAGCTGTTATCTAAGCCTTTTGTTGTCGTTTAGTTTCTTGCCTAGTTAAGGTTGGTCTTGATGACTAGGTTAACTGCTGTGGGCGCAGAGACCACTTCGGGAGCCTCGCACCTCTCAGGCCCCTAGGCATATTGCAGTTCATTCATCCAATATCCAACTGTTTAGGGGCAATCTGCTCTGAGCCAGGCTGGGACCCAGCGGGGAACCTGTTGGGCTTGCCCTCTGCAACTGCACCAAGCTCAAGACCAGGTGGAGAAGCAGACAGGCACAGTGGCAAACCTGGTGGGTAGGAGCTATAAAAGGAGATATACAGGGGACTGGGGGAGCTCAAAGGAGGCATTTGCCATAGGGGTGGGAGAAAGGGGACTTAGAAGCTTCTGGAACAAGGTGACCCAAGCCACCCACAGGATGCATGCCCTGAGTCAGGCAGGGTCCAGGCAGAGGGAGCTGCCAGAGGCCTGGTGCCTAGAGAGCACCATGCCCACAGAAAGTTTCTGGCACCTCCGACTGGCTGCATCGTGGTGATTTGAAAGAGAAGTAAGAGATGGGGCTGGAAAGGCTGGATCTTCCAGAGTCTTAGAGACCAGAGTAAAGAGGAAACCACTGACACGTATGGAGCTGGAGAGTGAGTTGGTCAGATTTGCTTTTTGACATAAGAAATTTACTCTGGCTGCAAGTAATGAGGAGGGGAGAACATGGGAAAGGGGTGGGTGAGGGGCCTGTCATGGTGGTCCAAGCAAGAGATAATGACAGCAGGACCTCAGCATTGGGGGGGAAATGAGAGGATAGGTCTGAGGCATCGAGAGACAGATTTGACTGGACTTGGGGATGAGCTAGGTCTGGACATGAGAGTCTGATTTCTGATTTTTTCCTGCTTCCCAGCCATAACCTGGGTTGCAATCCATGCTTCTCTCCAGTTTGCCCCATAATTTAGAAAACACAATTATATTACAGAAAAATGATAATAGCAGCTCCGAGTGCTACGATGTGTTCCCTTTTACAGACAGGGAAGTTGAGGCCTAGAGCACTTAAAACATTTGACTGGGGTCTTGACCCTGAAGCACAGGCTCAAAGAGTGCTAAGCTTTGCTGCCCGCACTGTGGGGTATGTTCTCACTAATCCTGGCTGGGCCTGCTCCTCGAAGGAAGAGCCTGTGGCTGCCTGATCCCAGGAGGGGATTTCAGAGGAGGGAGCCAGGCAAGGACAACCCAAGGATTGTCTGGCTCCTTAGCTGTGGACATGAGTAACCTCGGGCCACTCCAACAGGAAGCAGAGTGGGCCTGACTGCCAGGCTTAGCTCAGGTCAGGTGTTTATCTCCCTGTGCCCTGTGCCCTGGGAACCCAGAAAGTTTCCCTTCCCTTTCCCAGATGGTGCCTTGGGAAGAGAGAGAGCATGGCGCCAAGACAGGATGCTAAATTTGGGTGAGGTGAGTCCGAACTAGAATCCTAGCTCTGCTTGTATTGCCAACGTGGACTTGGTTTCCAAATGGGGAGGATGTTCATTCAGGTATGGCTAGGACCGCTTGCCCTGAAACCAACAGAGATAAGTTCAAAATCTGTCTGACTCACCATTGCCACCTGTGCCGCACAAACTTTCGGGTATAGTTTTGTATGCATAGAAAGGAATCTTGAAGGACATACCTTAAACTTTTCTCTGAGCCTCAGTTTCTTCACCTGTAAGATGGAAATAAGAATACCAACCTTGGCTGGGTGCAGTGGCTCACACCTATAATCCCAGCACTTTGGGAGGCTGAGGCAGGAGGATCACTTGAGGCCAGGAGTTTGAGACCAGCCTGGGCAACATAGTGAGACACTGTCTCTACAAAAAAAATTTAGCCATGAGTGGTGGCACACACCTGCAGCTGCTCCCAGCTACTCGGGAGGCTGAGGTAGGAGGATGACTTGAGCCTAGGAGTTTGAGGCCGTCTGCACCACTGCACTCCAACCTGGGTGACAGAATAAGACCCTGTCTCAAAAAAAAAAAGAAAAGAAAAGAATACCAACCTTTCTAGAATGTTGTGAGGACTTCAAGAGGCTGTACCTATGAATGACTCAGGCCTGGCAAGACATGGGGGACTGAGGGAGTGGTCAGCAGGGGCTCCAGGCCAGCACTTTCACACTTCTCCAGCCCCCGCAGATTCCCAAGCATGGCCTGTACCCCCAACATATAAGCAGCCCAATGCCAGACAAGCTAATTTCCAACAGGTGGTGTGGAGAAGGAAACTGAGGGAAATGTGGGAGAAGATGATTGGGCTAGGGGTTGTGATTCAAATGGGGTGGTCAAGGAAGGCCTCTGTGGGGTGTTATCTCAGCCAAGACCTAAATAATAAGGAAGACCCAGGCACAGGAAGCTCTGGGGGCAGAGGCATGAGCTGGCATGTTTGGGGGACTCCCTGTGACCTGAATGAGTGAGTAGCCATGGCAGAGAGAGGTGCCAGGGTAGGCAGGGGCCTGCTCACGTGGGCCCCTGTGGGCCTTGGAGGAGCTTAGTTTATAGTCCAAAGGTCCACCACTGGAGGATATGGGCAGAGGAATGACAATATCTAAAATATATTTTTTTAAAAGCTCCCTCTGGCTGCTGTGTAGAGAATGGACGGATTGTGCCAGGGCAAGGACAGAAGCAGGCAGACAGGTGAGGAGGCTATCACAGCCAGCCCAGCAGGAGTCTCTGGTGGCTCTGACCAGGGCAGAGACAGAGCGATGGGAAGAGGAAGGGGACCCATCTCAGAGGAAGCGCTCACAGCACTTGCTGAGCAACGATAATGGCTGTTCAGCGTCATCAGTGCTAAAGAGCCCAGGAAGGATTTAGAACCTTTTGAATATTCCCAGTGTTTTGAATCTGATTGAATGCCACAAGGTTCTTAAAGTTGGGGGGTAAGTGAGCATAAGCACTGGATTAGGACTAGGAAGGAACGCAGGGATTTAGTGTGACTCACAGCTGGAGAAAGTGGGAGGGCCTTGAAGAATCCTCACCTTCCCAGGCCCTGGATCAACTCTTGTCATGCTGCTTGCTTAGCGCTCTCTCCCTTGGAGCATGAGCTTCACAGATCAGACACCTCTCCATGGTGCGTGGTGTCCCCATGTCCAGTCCAGGCCCTGCCATAGATGTTCCATAAATGATTGTCAAAGGAATGCACGTGTGGCTGCATAGCTGAGTACATATATATGTGGTGGTTGCATGTATGTATGCACATATGCATGGAGGGATGCACGGTTGCATGGATGGATGATGGTAAATTTAACCATATAACCCGCTGCTTTAACCCTCCTCAATATTACCAATATTGAATTGTCAAAATTCAATGTACACTATTCCCTTTAACAGAAATTACCCAATAGCAACATTCACACACATGTGCAAAGATACATGTACAAAATGTTCCCTGCACCATAGTATATTATCAGAAAATGTTGGGAGCAGCTTAATGTCCAGCAGTAGGAAGAGGGAGGCCTTGAGGGCAGGGCCTGTGTTTTGTTCCCTGCTCCATCCCTGGCACACAGAACAGCATCTGGTATACAATAGGGTTCAAGTATTTGTCCAATGAAGGGAGGCACTAGCGAAGGGACGATGTGGCCCTGTTGAGAAGGAAGCTGGAGATTTGTGTGTGCCAAGGTGGGAGATAGCCACCTTCCCATGCACGGCGAGTCACAGAACAATATGTGAAGGATGAGCTTATTTTGGTGAAGAAAAATGGATATGTTCATGCATGCACAGAGGAGAATCTCGAAGGATACATCCAAAACTGTTACATCAGAGGCTTCCATTTCAGGATAGGATTTGGAGGGAAATTTTTACTTTATTTTAAAGACTATTCTTGGGTATTCTTTGATTCTTATAACAGGATGGGTTAGTTTTATAGTTTAACGATATATAATTATAAGGCTATTATAAACAAAAGCCCTTCTATGCTTCTCTGTTGCCCTCTGGATCAAATCCAAGGTTCTTAGCCTGGCATTCAGACCCCTCTGGA